GGTTTGCTGGTCAGGAGACAATTCAAAGTTACGAGAATACAGTTTGCTGATTTCAGGAGCTTTGAGGCTCTCTGTCTCTTCTTCATGTACCTCGGTCTAATCAGAAGACCTATGGCGACAGAGCTTTCGCAGTCGCTGCCCCGCGACTGTGGAATGCTCTGCCCATTCAGATGAGGCAGCCTGGGACTACACTAGACACATTCAAAAGGAGCCTCAAGACCCTTCTTTTTAGACAAGCTTTTTATCGTTTTTTGTAACTTTTTATTTATTTTCAAAATTGTAAAGCGCCATAGAGCTTTTAGGATATGGCGCTCTAAAAATCTATATTATTATTATTATTATTATTTGCTCTTTACTGTCCTTCTTTAATTTTTTTTGCAACAAAGCCGCGCGAGTGCAGGGCTGGACGGCTTTTTCCGGACCGGCTCACGTCAACCTGTCCGGCCCTACACATGTCAGCTTTCATTGTTGTTTCCTCGGGATTGCGTGCGCGGGGCCATACGGGTCACATGCTCATAAGCAATAATTTACCATTCTGAAAGAGTTTCCCCAGAGATTTAAAATTTCAAGGTTCATTCCTACTCGTTTTCCGTAATTATCAAAATGAACGGGGCCTGTTAAACCATTCATACCAAACCTGTAATAAACAGGAAGCAATCAGTACGCTAAACTTTTCCCCTTTTTTTTTTTATTTTTGTGTTGTAGTGACACAAGCAGCATATACATTAATTCCAGTACTATGCACCTCAATATTTTCGTGACCGCACAAGCTGAGAATTCTCTTCACCTTAAACATACTTCTCCGTCTAAAACCAGACTTGCGCAAATGGCGAGGAAGCGAAAAATTTAATTTCTTTTGTGTGGTGAGGCAAAGGTGTTTCGTTTTCTCTTAGACTATTGATTCATTCAAGAATTAGAAGAAACGTAGGCGAAATCGATAATGAGATTAAAGCTTAAGTTTACGTCAGTTTACTGCTCACTTCTTTCATGCAACGTAAGATCGCTTCCCTATCCTCTGATTGCACTGCGGATCCGTTGATTGATGAACAAGTTTCACTGTTGAATGCCCGGCCTATGACTTGAGCTGCATCATAAGAAGGTCCTATGGAATCAATTGATTCAGATTTCTATTCAATGTCAGTTTATACATTTGCTTCATGTAGCAATAAGCAGATTTGCGATAGCTTAACAAACTCACTTTGAGCAGACCTTGTCGGTATCACCATGAATGTATTACAGATTTTCTGATGCTTCTGATGCTGGGGTCGGAATATAAGGTAACTTCACTCCCAAGACAATATTGGACGGGTGGGAAGTTAAATTCAATGGAACCTTCAGTAAAGATTAAAAAGTAAGAGTTAGTTTCATTAGTTGACTGGCCACAATCATGATACTAAACAATTAAAGAAATGGCATCGCATTAAACGTATTCCAAAAGAGCTCAGTGACTGACCTCTCTTTGTAGAATCCACTTATAAATCATCCCATCTTTATGTGGGCAAGGCGTCTGACATGAAATATAAAATAATATACTGGGTGGTTATTACAAAGGTAACTTTAGGATTTAAACATTAGAAGGACCCTCCGAGGGATGTGATGAACGATCAGTTCGCGAAATATGAACTGAGAAGTAAAAGAACGGCTTCTTTCTTGAAGGCGCGGTCAAAACGGACAAGAAAGGTTTGAATTTAGGATAATGTTAGCTCGCCCAAAATTGTGACTATAAATGCGGTGTACATCCATGATGAATACCCCTTACTCATTTGACTCATTTCAATACCTTATTTGACACAGATTCCATATTGTCCTTGTCGACGTAAAGGAGAATAACCTCAGCTTTATAGAATCTTATTTCGTCCATCGTTCTTAGTAAGGCTGTCCCTGAATCCTCATTTTCGCCCGGTTCTGAAAATCTTACCAGATCACCGCCAGCTTAGATCCTCTGGAAAGGGCGCAAAAGTACTCAGTTTGGTGAAAGCTTTCGTCTGGAAAATATATGATAGAAATAGTTCAGAAACTGTACCCCTTAATTTCATGAAAGAAAATCCAACATTTCAAGTTTTGTTTGCATTCTTTTTACATGATCTCAGTTTTAGTTGTTAGAGGACAATTACCATTGAACACAAGCACCACACTTCCCCATCCAAATGTATTTAGTAGGTCGAATATAGCATGCGCTTAGTCTTTGTATCCGGCTGAAATCTGTATCGTTTTGTCACATTGTTTAAAGGGTCCTTCATTGCCATGGAGACGAATAAGAGGAATGTTCGTAACTGTAGACAGTGCGCATGCACGCGAGTGGCTGTCACTTTCATCAATAAGTGCAATCACATTATGTTGGAGAAACGCTGCAGCTGTAATGAAAGAAACCTTGTCAATAGCTGGACACCTTGAGAATAACATCATCGATTCATCTGCAGCCAATGACAGAAGACTTGTCAGTAGCTGCACTCCTTCAAAATTACACCACAATCAGCAATGACAGCAGAATATAAAGCGTAACGTTTTTGTCTCAATTAGGTGTTTATTAGAGAAAGATTATCTTTACTTATTTTATTTGTTTTCTCTCTAAAACAACCAGTAACTTGCACAGGACCAGGGAATTGATTCGTAATTGAAATGTCAGAGGAACAACAACTTCCTCTTTGGAGTATGAATATTCAGTTTTCACCGCAGAGAGATGAGTCGTGTCTTGAAATGCTTTATCCATTACCTCAGTACCTGATTCAATATTAATGATGTCGTTTACTGGTGTGAGCTCATTAGCATTAAACGCTTACAAAGCAGATGTACCGTAAAAACTCCTAATCGTCCACATTTATAATTTACCTTGACCAAAAAGGTTGATGTTTTTTGAAATGTTGTACTTTTTCAAGACCAGTGAGATATTGCTCAAACTCGATATCTTATGATAGCGGTGTCTGAGATTGCTTCAAATTCTTCAGGATCTCCACCGATAAAACCTGCAAGAGAGTGAATAATATTTCAAGGCCTTTTCCAAGGTCTCGTAATACTAAGACCCCCAAAAAGTATGTACAATGATTGCTGAAATACATTCTGCTCTATGCGTTAAATTTAATTTTTTTACAATCATGACATAACTTTTTCTTTAAATATGACAGAAAAAAATTTTTATCTTATGACTCCCCGCAGGTGAAAATCTTGTCTGTGGAGCATATTTCTTGAATAGTGGAGACAATTACCAGTGAGAAGAAAAATTTTCTTTTTTCCATGTTTAAATTCTGAGACAAAATTTCATTAATTTATTTAAATGCCAGTTTTGTAGTTATTGTTTAGTGCCTGTTAAACAGTGTCTTTAATGCTCATAAGTGTTTTTTTACCGCAGCGTTTTAAAATGCTAATGCAATTCATTAACTTCCACTTTTCCAAGCCAAGCAGAAAGTATTTTGATTATACACACCAAAACAATCATGAAAGGACCGGAGTCTTCGGTAACGTCATTATCATAAACAGGAAGAAAATAAAATTATGCACCAATGTGTACGAGCAGTGAAACTATCAATCATGAGACTTGCCGGATGAATGATAAAAACCCTAAAGGATCCCTTCCAACCACAATACCCTGCGCGCCTCTATTATTGTTTTGATGCCTAGTCAAATAGAAAGAACAATAAATTTGGAACGCGATTGAGGAAATTCAAGACCTCAGTGAGGCAAATGTACTCGGATGAACGAGGATTTCTTTCCACTTCACGACTTGTCCAATACCGGAAGGCAGAGAAAATGGCGGATTTCACATATCGCGCGCGCAATGTATTGTGGTTGGAAGGGATCCTTTAAGGTTAAGGAGGTAAGATAAAGATTAGTCTACGAGATATCCAGGTAAGAATCGTTCATGCTGTTATTTTGTTAAGGTTTGTAAATTATTCACACGACTGTAATGATACAGTGAAAATTCATACTACCCTGATACGAGAAAACCTGTCAGATTCACACGCGTCGACAAGTTGAAGATCGCAAGAGATATCGCAGGTGGAATGTCTCACCCTCACCTCGCCAGCAAAAAGGTAGTTGTGATACTCAGTGAAAAGATCTACCAATGAGCCTATTTGATTATTTTATTTCAGTTTCCTACGCAGTTTGGTTATCGCGATCTTGCAGCTAGAAACGTGCTTCTTGGCAAGAGGAATATTGCCATGGTTTCTGACTTCGGCTTGTCACGTGATGCGCACGAAAGTGGTGAATACGAAAACATATCCGGGGTATGGTATGGGTATACTTGATCCTAGTTGTCTCAATTTGCAACTTTAAAGTTTTCGAAAGTGTCCTTATCATTTAAATGGTAACTAAGTGTTGATGTATTTTGAACTCTTGCTCTTAACAAGGGAATGTTACTAGTTCGTTGGATGGCTCTTGAGTCTTTGGAATTCTACATATACAATTCCAAGACAGACGTGTAAGTTTTATACAGTAGAGAACTGCAGGATATTTAGAGAAGTAGCTCCGTTTGCTTCATTTACATTTGGTAGTTTTTACTTTTCCTTTTAAAAACTGGTTCGACCTTGATGCTAAAATGTCGGTTGTTGGGTTGTCAACGACCTACAGTTGGAAACATCGAAATCAGGCAAAAGCTAGATTTTTGTATGGCAAATTTTTTTGACAGGTGGTCATTTGGAGTACTATTATGGGAGATTGAGTCTGGAGGTAAGGCACCTACTTTAATTGAATAGTTATAGGAACATTTTAGCCATCAGTGCTAATGTAAACATACTTTTACAAATCTCACATGAATGGGGTTAGGAGTGGTAACCTCTAGTTAGTATTTGTAATCTTAGTTCTTAACTTTAAACCCCAGTTTGATTTCTTAGTCCTTTTATCTTTTAATTCTATTTCAGAAGACACCCTGAAAACCACCTCCAGGTGACTGGAGGCCTCCGATTAAAATATTATTTATTGTTATTATTTGTTTATAAAGTTATAAAAATAAAGAGCCATAAAGAGTCTGTCAGTGGGTAATCATCTATCATATTTAATGGTAATCCCCTCACACGCTTTTAAGTTTAACTGGGACAACTTCGTGGTGCCCTTACGTGTCTCTTTTTTCTCATTAAGGTAAAATCCCACTTTCTGGTCTTGCAGCGCAACAAGGACGGATTTTAGAGAGGCCAGACGGATGCCTATGCGAAATGTAAATAAACAGTTAAGCCAACAATTATTCAGATTATAAGAATAGTTTTGTTATGGGGACTCTATATGAAATATCTTTCCTTTCATAGAGGTCATGAAGTCATGCTGGAGTTTGGATCCTGCAAAGCGTCCATCATTTTCAGAGCTTATGAGGTTATTTGAAGAGGAACTTATTAAAACAAAAGACGTAAAGCGATATCATTCATTTATAGTTATGATGCCAACAAGGCACATGATTACATTTGACTGGAGGTAACGTGAAACGTAGATGCGATACCGGTCGTTTCCACTTCTTACTCAAGGTATTCTATTTTCAATGCTAGGTTTACTGCTTCCTTTCAACTTTCGCAACAATATGTTGTGACATAATACATTTATGGGAACCGTAGTCGGATGTTATTTCATTGATTTTCAAATTATGGAATGCATGCACGAAAGTAGAATGATGCAAACATAAATAAAAGTGGCCTGGCAATCAGTCATCTGCCGGGCGGACTTGAATAGAGTTAGTCTTTGACCTGGATAAGAAACAACAAAAAGTGTTACAATACTCAATCAACACATCATGAAATTTTGCATCAGTTATTTTTTTTCCTTTCTACCTTTTCTTCTATGCTCTTTTTTTGTTCCGTTCTTATTCTATTCTGCGATTTCAGTCTTTCAATTACAGAGGAATTATTCTTAGAGGCGTCTTCGAAAACATAGTCATCTGAAAAGGTTTCATGGCAACCATTTGAATCAGCGGATACTACTTACAAATCGATATTTTTACAAACTTAACTTTACCATTATTGTTTTCCTTGATTGATTATGAAATACAGACAATACTTCTGCTCAAGTAAAAGTGAATCAGCGATCAAGGAAAAGATTGTCTTTTTTTTATTGCGTGAATGGATAAGCCAACTACTTAAATACAATTACCTTTGCCATTTCCTGGACCTTGTGGTTTCTTTCGACAATACTATTTGTTTACTTCTCTTGCTCCAGAAGATCTCTACCAACAGCGTCAGAAATGCAACCACGATACCAACGCCAAGGACAACATAAACTCCCAGCATGCTCAGTAAGCCGATACGCTTACGAGACAAAGCTTCAGAAAAATGGGAAATTGATAAGAAAGTTATGAGATTTTTTATGAAGTTTGGTCAGTGATATATGCTATTATCAACATCGTGGGTTGAATGCAAGGTTTACTCGCGAGCTCCATAGCTTTGAAGGAATTTTTAAAATGCTCAAATTTTAAAAAAGATACTGATAAAGCAAGGCAAAAAATTCGTATTCATTCCCACTGCCAACGATAGTGCTGCTCTTCTCTTAGTGCTAGTCATGCATTATCTATACCCTTAAGGAACAGATCCTTATTAAGAAAATATACATGTTTAATATGAGATTATGGCGAAGACTAAGGGATGATTACTCCCCACCTGTTTCTTGAAGGAAGTTTTAAAATGCTCAAATTTTAAAAAAGATATAAAGCAAGACAAAAGGTTCATATTCATTCCCACTGCCAACGATAGTGCTGTTCCTGTCTAAGTGCGAGTCATGCATTATCGATACCCTTAATGAACAGATCCTTATTAAGAAAATATACATGTTTGATATGAGATTATGGTGAAGATTCAGAGATGATTACTCCCCACCTGTTTCTTGTTCCTCAGGACATCCATTTTCGGTATCCCACCATTTTCGTTTCAGTGTTTCCAGGAAGTTATTCTCGTGCAGATGTAAAATGGCCAAAGTGAAATAGGCAGTGTGCGGATCATTCGCTTGTAAGGCCAACGAAAGTCCTTTAGCTGTTGTCAAACCTGGAACTTGTAAAAATGTGTCTGTGAGATGTAACAAATGTATTATGGTACCGTTGGATGAAAAATAATTCAATATTTCAGTGAAACGAGCATAGCTGCACTAGAATCTTTGCAGCCCAGTCTGAGGACTTCTCTGAACTGTGAAACTTTCCTCGATGTCACCTTTTACCAACGGGTCGGACAATAAAAAAAAGAGGTTCATCCAGATCATTGGATGAGAAATTGTGGTGAGAAGCAAACCTTACTCCAGACCCACGACACATGGTCATGTACTAATTAAAAAGATCGACTTAAATCAAAGGAAACAAGCTAAAATTCCAATATGAGTAACAGTTTGATAATATTATCTTGTATTATTTACCAACTGTTAGATCACATGGTGGTTGATTCGCGACATGACGGAGTCCTGGCCCATCTGCAATAAACACGTATTCTTCTCTTTCTCGCACAAGCTGAGCAGCCTGTTCATAGCTCTTTATCACGTCATCTGCCGCTTTTATTCGGTTCCAGATCGTTTGATATGTATCGTATTTACTTCTTCTGAATGCTTCATAGGTACTTGACGACTGCACCACTCCTACTTGGTATGAAGATTTAACGATATCTTTTAGATTATTAATCGGACTTTCTGCGTTTTTTACCGTAAAGAAGGCGGCGAGGTTGGCCGTGTATGTTGAAACAGATATCAGGATGGTGAACCAATAGCAGCCAGCGAGAATGCGACCTAAGAGAAACCAAGCTATTATTAAAATATCCTATAAAAGCTTTTCGATGAAGCCTACAGTTAAAATTTTAACAAGAGTAGGTGACAGGACATTACTCCCTGTGAGAATACAGCCCCGTGTAAGATCTATATACAATCGCCCACGCTGATGGGGTGAGGAATTTGAACCTAAGGCCAGAACCGTTAAAGTGACCTCCCAACGGTGAGGGCAAGCTTTGTCAATTCCGAGACTTTTCACAGGGATAGGCGGCCTATTATTCTATTTCTTTTTACATCAGCCCTAAACGAGGAATAGGCACATAGAAGAAACATCTTTAAATAAATAAAATAAATATAAATTTCGTGGTGTTCAGGGTATTAGTAACGAACTTACTGCGTTCTTCTTTTATTTGATTCATTCGAGATAAAGTACATCGGGGAAATAGATGCGAGATAAACGATTATAAATCGTAAATCATACAAAAAAACAAACCCAAAAGTGAGGTAAGTTTGTTTTATTCAAACCTGACTCACAAGCTTAACCCTCAGTTTAACTCGCAAGATCTGATTGTGAATTCTCTCCTCTAGCTGCTACACATTTTCTTGTAAATTGGTTGTGAGAATTTGGTGTTAGGTCAGGATAAGAACTTGATAAGGTTGAGTACTCTCATTACCTGTTTGCTGTTTGCTGTTTGCTGGATAATGTATGGAAGTTATAGGGAAAGGTTTCATGTTAATCACTTCTGGGAGTTAAGAGGTTAAAATTGAGAATGTATTCATTGATTCACATATCTATATAGAGGCTCATTGCGTTAACTTGAGATTCGCGGGCAGCAACTAGACACCTTACCTGATAAGCTACGGGGCGAGTAGTCGGCTCCTTGCTGCAACATGCAAGATAAAGCAAACCACACACTATTGGAGAAACTAAATTCCTCTGCTGTTCCCCGACCATTTTCATCTTTGTACCCATAAGGACTGAGGTAATTTATAAAAAACACAGCAAAGGAGATGATAACTAGGCTGGCGAGAGTTGCAAACCAGACGTGACTGTCAAAAGGATTCATGAACTGCAGTAAGTCAACTTTTCCATTCGACAATGTCTTCTTCAGCAACATTTCTTCTGTGTAGAACATGTAAGGAACTGTGAAGTCAACAACTGTCTCTCGATGCTCAGTAATGGTGAGATCTGCCACTGCCATATCAGCATGCTTTGTAGCAAAGTAATGAAACAGAACGCAAGGTGATCAAGGAATTATTTTTTATTAAAGAGAAGACAGAGCAAGTGCATGGTTATTTTATAAAGAACCAAAAACATGATGATATGAGATAATTTGGCATTATCAACCGTGTTCATAATGTAAATTGGCCACCGTAAAGAATTCCTTACGGTAGCGTTTCGGACGTTCACACTTTATCACACCGAAAGGCGGGGGTAAACGGTCGAAACGACACCTTTAGAAGATCATTATAGTGTCCAATTTACACTACCAACTTAGTTGATAAAAGCAAATTATCTTGCTAGACCCCCCCCCCCCATCTCCCCACTGACGCAAAACCATAGTTTCTTGAGAAAATAACCCCTTCATTCATCTAGCATGAAAATATAGTTACATCCTAATCTTAACAGTCATTGAACCAAGTGTTATAGCCCTACGCGCCAGAAAGTTAAGCTGGAAGATTTTAGTTTGACGGTCACAAGCCATGTTGAAATTGAGCGTTCCCGCTTACCACTCTAACTATCGATTATATTTACCAGATTGAGAACGGACACCTAGAGAAAGGATTATTCCACCTCACAAAGTACATTTTTGTCATTCTCAGCGCAGATACAATAAAAGCAGTGACCCTGAAACCAAACCTTGTACAACAGCTCGCCAATGATCCCATTCCATGTTCCATTGTCAGTTTCGGCGCCATAAAACCCATCCGGAGTAAAATAGATTTCGTAGGTAAACTTGAGATTCCTCGCCAGTTCGTTGAGCAAATCAATGCAATATCCTGTATACACAACCTCGCCATTTTCCTCTGTCCTGCTCATCATAAACGGGGCAGCCTGTTTTCATTTGATTTTAGAACGACTTTTTTTTAGTTTCAAAAACACAAATAAGGGAGAAACTTAAGGGTGATAAGTAGACGGGGATACCGTTCTGTTTAACTTGATGCCATTACAAATCAAAGGAAACTGTGAATAAGTCATGGATAAATTACATTTGAATGAGTTTTGAAGATAATTAAAATCCAATGGGTAACTTCCTGGATACAATTGAAACTACTTGGTATTGCTTTAAACTGCTGGGGTGATGTTGGGTGAATGGTCAGAATTCACATTTTAGCTATCGGTCAGTACAAAATACAGGCTGCAAACCGAGTACGAAATGCAGACTAGGCACAAAATGCAGACTGCAGATGGCAGATTAGGTACAGAATGCAGACTCGAAATTTTGCAAACTGTTATTTCGTCTGATACATGATAACATATGTCATCTTACAACTTACCCAGTGTCACGCAATCGCCTTTTAGCAATCACTTTCATGATCATTTGCACTATTTCGGAATATTCCTTTCCTGTTTCCTTGCATATTTTGTTTTTAGCAAAGTGGCCACCGAATTCGGGTTTTAAAAAAGCGGCCACAATCGTTCTCAAATAGAATTTCAAGCCTTCGTATAGTCTCCTCATTTCGCGCGCGAGATGACAGTATTGAAAAAAAGACAGCTTTTGTATGTGGTACAAACTCTCCACCTTTTAAACCGATATGTGTATATTTTCATTTTGTTGACAAAAATGTGGACTTAGACGAAAACTGTTCCTTTGACTTAATATTTTTTTAACGTTCAGGGGTGTACACACAATGACTTTCACAAATTAATGTATGCGTAGTCATCAAACAGATGAGGGGCAAAACTATCAGAAAAGAAATTAATTGGCCAGTCACGAAAACAACGCTTCACTTTCCCTACAAAAATTACTCATTTTAGCCATATATAACGATATAAACACTGACGGCTTGCATTGAGAAGAATGAAGGCTTGAAATTGTATTTAAGAACGATTGTGACCTGGACGCTTTGTTCAAAACAAAACATACCCGGGAACGGCGAGGAATATTCCACAATAATGCAAATGTTGGCGAAAGATGATCGCGGAAAAGCGATGGCATTAAGCGTCTTCACTCTTAGTTACACCTTTAGTCTTTCAAAGAGCTTTGACTCAGTTACACATGTGCTAACTGCGACGGGGATTTTCGTTAAAATCGAAACTCCTCCGAAGAGAGGTCGAGTTAAATTTTAACGTCGCAGCATTATTTCGGAAATGTGATAGAGGCGTTCCCGTATAATTTCGGAAGATCGCTATCAATTGGTCTGCCATTGCATATTCTGCCCCATTCTAACAGTCGTTTCTGCGCTTCGCGTACCCACGACTAAAGAGGAGTTTCTCTAATGAACATGGATATGTAACAGCACTGACTACCTTTATAACTACAATCCTGAACCTTCTCCCTTCCAAACTTCCTGCTCTTGGTGGTGTCACCAGGTTTTGCGAGATATTTCCAAATATGACAGCTTTCTCGGCTGAATTCCATGTGCCTACCTAAAGTAGCAAAAGAATAATACAATAGAAAAGGACTGATCGTGAAAGACATAGCAGCGACTCTACCGCTGATGTATACTTAAGAAAAGCTCATGTAGAGACATGACTCCCTCTATCCTTCGAAGAAAATGCAATTAGATGTAAAGCATGACCGGGATTTTGAAGATTCTCAATTCATCGAAGAGGGTGACTTTTTTGTTCTTCAATATTTTCTTCCGAGTTTGTTTGGCAACAAAGCCGGGCGAGTGCAGAGTCCGAAAAGCTTTTCCGGACCGGCTCACGTCAACCTGTGCGGCCCTACGTATATACACACATCAGCTTTCACTGTGGCTTTCTCTGAGATTGCAGTATTTAGGGTGATACAGTATGATACTATATGAAAATAAACAATAATTTACCTTTTTGAAACAGTTACTCCGGAGATTTAAAATTTCGAGGTTGATTCCTATTCGTTTTCCATAAGCATCAAAATGAACGGGGCCTGTTAAACCATTTATACCAACCTGTGATAAACAGCAAGCAATCAGCACAGTAAATGTTTTCCTTTTTTTTTTTTCATTTTTGTGTTGCGGTGACACAAACAGCATATACATTAATTTCAATACTATCTACTAAATATTTTTGTGATCGCACAAGTTGAGATTTCGCTTCAGTTTAAACATATTTGTCCATCTAAAACCAGACTTAAGCGAATGGTGGGGACGCGTAGAATTTCATTTATTTTTGTGTGGTGAGGCAAAAGTGTTCCATTTTCTCTTTGACTATTGACTTATCGAAGAATTAGAAGAAATGTAAGTCAAATCGAGGATGAAATTGAAGCTGAAGTTTACGTTAGTTTACTGCTCACCTCTTTCATGCAAAGTAAGATCGCTTCCCTATCCTCTGCATGCACTGCGGATCCGTTGATTGATGAACAACTTTCATTGTTGACTGCCCGGCTTATGACTCGAACTGCATCATGAGAAACAGCAAGTAGATCCTAAGGAATCAATTAGTTCCGACATTTATTCAATGACATTGTATCCATTTGCTTCATATAGCAATAAGCAGATTTACAACAGCTTAGCAAACAATGCCCTTTGAGCAGACCTTGTTGGTATCACCATGGATGTGTAACAGGTTTTCTAATTCTTCTGATGCTGGGGTCTGATTATATGGTAACTTCACTGCTAAGACAATATTGGACGGGTGGGAAGTTAAATTCAATGGAACCTTCAGTAAAGAGTAAAAAATAAAAATTAGTTTCACTAGCTGACTGGTCACAATCATGATACTAAATATTTAGAACGGTTTCACAAAAATTAAGTACAAACTGGCTTAAAGAAACGGCATCTTATTGAACCTATTCCAAAAGAGCACAGTGACTGACCTCTCTTTGTAGAATCCATTTATAAATCATTCTATCTTTATGTGGGCAAGGCGTCTGACATGAAATTTAAAAGAAAACATCTTTGGCATATACTGGGTGGTAATTACAAAGGCAACTGTAGAATTGAATCATTAGGAGGACCCTTCGAGGGAGATAGTGAACTATCAAATCGCGAAATGAACTTCTTTCCTTAAGGCACAGTCAAAACGGGCGAGCAAGGTTTGAAACTAGGATAGCGTTAGCTTGCCCGTATTTATGACTTAAATTCGGTGTACATCCATGATAAATAACTCTTACTCAATTGACTCATTTCATTACCTGATTTAACATAGATTCCATATTGTCCTTGTCGACGTAAAGGAGAATAACTTCAGCTTTATAGAATCTTATTTCGTCCATCGTTCGTAGTAGTGCTGTCCCTGAGTCTTCATTTTCGCTTGGTTGGGAAAATTTTACGAGATTCACTGCCAGCTTTGATCCTCTAGAAAGGGTGCGAAAGTACCCAGCTTCGAGAAAGCTTTCATCTGAGACAAGTATATGATAGAAGTAGTTCAGAAAGTTGACCTCTTAATTATCATGGAAGGACATCCAAAATGGCAATTTTTATTTACAATCTTTTAACAGGATCTCAATTTTAGTTGCTAGAGGACAATTACCTTTGAACACAAGCACCACGCTTCGCCATCCAAATGTATTTAATAGGTCGAATGTGGCATGCGCGTAGTCTTTGTATCCTACTGACATTTGAATCGCTCTGTCACATTGTTTAAAGGATCCTCCATTGCCATGGAGACGAATAAGAGGAATGTTCGTGACTGTAGACAATGCGCATGCGCGCGAGTGGCTGTCACTTCCATCAATAAGTACAATCACATTATGTTGGAGAAACGCTGCGGCTGTAATGAAAGAAACCATGTCAATAGCTGGACACCTTGAAAATAACATCATCGATTCAGCTGCAGCTATAATGAAAGAAAACTTGTCAGTAGTTGCACTCCTTGAAAATTACATCAGAATCACTAATGACAGCAGAATATAAAGCCTAACGTTTTTGTCTCAATTGGGTGTTTATTAGAGAAATCTTATTCTTACTTATCTTATTTGTTTTCTCTCTAAAACAACCAATGACTTGCACAGGACCCGATTATCAGTTGATTTACGCGTCAATACAATAATCACCTCCACTCAAATCCGAGTGCAGTTTATAGGAAATTGACTCGGCAAATGGAAATGTCAGAGGAACAACAACTCCCTCTTTGGAACATAAATGTTCAGTTTTCACTGCAGAGAGATGAGTCGTGACTTGGGATGCTTTATCCATTACCTCAGTAACTGATTCAATATTGATGATATCGTTTGCTAGGGTGAGCTCATTAGCATGAAACGCTTAGAAAGCAGTTGTACCGTAAAAGCTCCTAATCATCCACATTTATAATTTACCTTGACCAAAAAGGTTGCTGCTTTTTGAAATGTTGTATTTTTTCAAGACCAGTGAGATATTGCTCAAACTCGATATCTTATTACTGGCGGTGTCTAAAACTGCTTCAAATTCTTCAGGATCTTCACCGATAAAACCTGCAAGAGAATGAATAACATTTTAAGGCCTTTTCCAAAGTCCAATAATTGCTCAAATACATTCTGCTTCATGAGTTAAACTGAAATTGTTCACAATCATGGCATAACTTTTTCTTTCAATACGACAGAAAAAAATTTTTATCTTATGACTCACCGCAGGTAAAAATCTTGTCTGTGGAGCATACTTCTTGAATAGTGGAGACAATTACCAATGCGAAGAAAAATTTTCTTTTTTCCATGCTTAGTTTCTGAGACAAAATTACAATAATTTATTTAATACCAGTCATGTTTGTAGCCATTGTTTAGTGCTTGTTAAACAACGTCTTTGATGCTCATAAGTGTTTTTACCGCAGCGTTTTAAAATGCTAATGCAGTTCATTAACTTCCACTTTTCCAAGCCAACCAGAAAATATTTAGATTATACACACCAAAACAATCATGAAAAGACCGGAGTCTTCGATAAGGTCTTTGTCATAAACAGGAAGAAATTAACAAATGGTAAACACCACAGCGTACACTATTGAGTTATGGATGCACGCGGGAGGTTGCTAAGCACGAAAGAAGCGTAAGAGTCGCTCGAGGCGATAGCCGAGAGCGACTCTAGCTTCTTGAGTGCTTAGCAAACCTCCCAAGTGCATCCATAACTCAATAGTGTACGCTGTGGTGTTTACCATTTGTTTTATAACATAACATTGATACATTGTAGCTAAAGAGTTCCCTTTTATTTAACAAATCTTACG